TCGAATGGCGAGAGGGGGGAGAGGGGGGGGAGAGAGCGAGAGAGAGAGAGAGAGAGAGATAGAGGGAGAGGGAGAGGGAGAGAGAGAGAGATGAGAAGGAGCGGGAAGAGAGAGAGCAGCTCTATAATTATATAACGGTAGGGGGAGAGAAGAGAGAATAGAGATAGAAGAGAGGAGGAGAGAGATGAGAGAGAGAAGATAGAGAGAGAAGAAAGAGAGAAGAAGAGAGAGAGAGAGAGAGAGAGAGAGGAGAGAGAGAGAGAGAGCGAGAGAGAGAGAGAGAGAGAGAGAGAGAGCGAAAGAGAGAGAGAGAGAGCGATAGATAACACACAACAATAAATGAGAGCAGGGGTCAGGTACGCTGCCAGGTCTACCACGTTAGGTGGCGTGCTCGTGGGGGTCGGGGGCCCCTAGCCTCAGGGGCGCCAGCGGAAGGGGCAACAACGAAATCACAAAGCAAGCGGTGTCCTGGACGTCTAGTGGCCTTAGGCGTCGCGGGGTGTTTTGTGGCCGAAGGCGTCGTGCTTTTGTTTGCGTGGCCTTGCGCGTCTTGGGGTGCGTTGGGGCCTGAGGCTTCGTGGGGCGCATTGCTGCATGCTGCGTTCTGGTTTGTTTGTTGTTTTCGGGGGGGGGGGGCTGGGGCGTCTTGAGGCGCGTTGAAAGCCGTATGAGTCTTGGGGCGCGTTTGGTGACTGGGGCGTCTTGGGGCGTCTTGCCCCCCCCCCCCCTCCCCCCAGCACATGGGCCCTAATGGGCCCTGATGGGTCCTAATGGGCCCTGTTGTGGCCTAGTGGGCCAAGAGGGACATCTGGGACTCGGGCACAGCAGGAGGTAGCAGCGCAGGTCAGCGTTAGCCCAGCGACCGAAGGGATTGTGGGAGAGGCCCTTCTTCCCCCATCCCCGAAGGGGTGGGAAGGGAGGGGCCTCCTCCCTGGCTGTATTTGCCTTGCGCGGTGCAGTGCCCCTCGGCCCTGACTGGCAGCTGGCTCTGAAGTGCTAGGGCCCCTCGCCACTCCGAACCCCCCGTCCGCCCCTCCACTGTTTTATTTATATTTTTTTATATTTTTTAAGTTTTATAATTATGTTTTAATTTTATGTTTGTTTGTTGAGAATTTTTTAAATATTTTTATTTCAGTTTTATTCTTCAGATTATTTTTTCAGCTTGGAGGGTGAAGGTTGGTCCAGGAGGTATCCCTCCCTTTAACGGGCACTGCGCCTTAGGGGGCTACGCGGTGGAGAGGCTCCGCCTCCTTTTGGTTTGCGGGGCGGCGCCGATAGTGCACCGCCCCAGCTTGATATGCTGAGCCGCGCGGTGCACAAGCACGTTGGTGCGTGTCCCTCGTGTTATTCAAGAGCTAGGCGGTGTGCGGTGGCGCCGTTCCCTGGGACCAAAATCGCCTTGGCCGTTTCGCTGGAGACGCTCGTCACTTGTGGCCTCATTGCTTTGCTAGGTATCACACGCCGCCTTTGTTATATATCAACCAGAATATGTGCCGCATGATTATTTGTCACCATGCCGAGCCAAGCCGTTGCCAAGGGGGCCCCGTTTTTATAAGCGGCATCGCATTCCTGACATAATGCCTTTCGGCACACCCGCTCACGCTGACAGCCTGCCGGCTAGGGATTGGGTCCGGGTGGGGGCCGCGTTCTGTGGCCCCAGGGGCGCGCCCATGCGCCCATTGCCTCCAGGGCCTAGGGGTTCAGTCCTACTGGGGTCGGGGGCCCCAGGGGCGTCTGGGGTTCCAGAGGCTCCATGTGGGCAGGTGCCATGGTCTCCAAGAGCTCTGGTGCACCCAGGGGCTCCCAAAGCTTGCGGGGTCAGTACAGGGGTCGGGGGCTCCAGGGGCTTCTGGGGTTCCAGAGGCTCAAGGGGCCCCAGGGGCTCCAGGGGCGTTACCCTGGGGCGCTCAGGGCCTCCCAGGGCCGAGGGTTCAGTCTAGGGGTCGGGGGCCAGGGGTTTCAATGTTCCAGATGCTGCCAAGTGTCCAGGGGCTCTGAAGGTTTCGGTGCGCTCAGGGCTTCTCACGACCTATCTGGGGCCCATTCTAGGGGTAGGCCCCAGGGATTCCAA